GATGACAATTAACAAGTATTTTTGCAACAAGTGCAACTGTATTTTAAAAGCAGTTGTTAGAAATTGGAAGTTATAAAGTCGCTATTGACACCTCGACCGGATTGACATTATCCAGAGATTTCTGTTACTTTATAGACTCAACAGAAGAGCTTATCCACCGTGTTTTTTGTGCATAGGACAACAATTCAATAACCATAATTGTGAATAAATAAAGTAAGTTAACAATGTTGGCGTCGAAAAATACAGATGACGATGATCTTAATACACCATTCAGACTTTCAGGAAAGTTGTTTTCATTTAAATCAGTTGACACAGTTATACACCAGAATGACATATACCCAACATGCATAACTTTTTAAGTATCACTGGTATTACCCTTGCACCACAGATTTTCACCAGAGTAAATGATTGCCAATACTTGGTTTCAGCTTCCTAAAAGAAGACTATATACATGGACGTCTCCTTCACATACAGAAAACCACATTGTCAGAAACCAGATAGACTTTATACTCGTAAATAGCAGATATAAAAACTCTATAACCTCAGTTAAAACTTATCCTGGAGCAGATGTTAACTCAGACCACAATCCGCTAGTGGCTGACCTGAAAATAAAATTAAAAAGAATTGAACTCAGAAAACAACAACCAAAAATTAACGTAAGAATGCTACAAAACGAAGAAATAAAAAACGAAATAAAAAATAATGTGAATGTTAATATGCAAAAAACACTAACTGACAACAAACAAATTATGGATGTAAATAAAAAGTGGTGTAATATAAAAAACTCATTACTGAAACCAGCTCAAGAAAATTTAATAGAACATAAATCAGAGGCTAAAAAACACTGGATGACAGAAGAAATACTATTACTGATGGAAGAAAGAAGGAAATATAAAGGAAAAGATCTACAGAAGTATAAAGAAATACAACGAATAATTAAGGAAAAAATCAAAACAGCTAAGGAAATCTATTTGATGAAGCAATGTAAAGAGATAGAAGAACTAGAAACAAAATATGATATGAGAAATATGCACAAAAAAATTAGAGAAGTGACTGGAATGGGTCGAAATAGACAGAAAGGACACATCAAAGACAAAAAAGGAGTACTACTAGTAGATTTACCAGAGAAGTTAAGGCGATGGGAGGAGTACGTTAGAGAACTTTTCCAAGATGAAAGAGGTGAAATGCAGAAAATACAAGAATTCAATCCTTTAGAGATACAGAAGATCACGATAGATGAAATCAAATATGCTATCAAAAACTCTAAAGACAATAAGGCAGCTGGATTAGATGAAATACCAGTAGAACTCTTAAAACTAGTGGAAGAGGACAACTTGGAAGTATTGGCAGATTTATTCAACACGGTGCACGATACGGGAATAATACCACAGGAGTGGCTAAAGTCAGCATTTATAACCATCCCTAAAAAACAAGCAGCAAAAGAGTGCTCTGATTATCGAACACTGAGCCTCATGAGTCCTACTTTAAAAGTTCTGCTAAAAATAATACATAAGAGAATATACGAAAGGCTAGAGGAGGATATTAGCGAAACGCAGTTCGGGTTCCGAAATGGAATGGGTACTCGAGAAGGACTATCTGCCATCAACATATTAATTCAGCGATGTCGGGATGTGAATGTTGATCTACACTTGTGCTTCGTTGACTACGAAAAAGGTTTCGATAAAGTAAGACATGAAAAACTAATATCAATACTTATGAACAAGCGCATTGACAGTAAAATCATAAATATAGTGCAAACATTATATTGGAACCAAAGTGCCATAGTTCAAATTGATGGGCAACACTCAGAAGAAATGAGGATCTGTAGAGGAGTTAGACAGGGATGTGTGTTATCACCACTTTTGTTTAACTTATATTCTGAAGAAATTTTCCAAAACACGCTCAATAATATCGAAGCGGGAGTCACCGTTAACGGAAAATTAATTAATAATTTAAGATATGCAGACGACACTGTGATCATAGCAACGAGTATAGAGGATCTACAACATCTTATCGAAAGCTTGAGTATAAATAGTGCTGAAATGGGAATTACTATAAACGCCAAAAAAAGGAAGTACATGCTGATTACAAAAAGGCCACAAAATATACATCACCTATTGACAATAAATGGTAACGTGATAGAACAAGTAGAAAAATATCAGTATTTGGGAACTTTGATCAGTGAAACCAATGATCATACTGTAGAAATAAACAGACGAATAGAGATTGCCAGATCAGCATTTATACGAATGAAGCCACTCCTAACGTGCAAAAATCTAAATTTGGAGATCAGACTACGTACCATTCGCTGTTATATATTTTCAATATAATTATATGGAGCTGAGACTTGGACATTAAAAAAATGTAATTTAAAAAGAATCGAGGCCTTCGAACTTTGGTTATACCGCAGAGTATTGAAAATATCATGGACTGATAGAATTACAAATAAAGAAGTACTGGAGAGGGTTGGTAAAGAAACAGAACTAATCACCACTATACAATCTAGAAAACTGGAATACCTAGGCCACGTGATGAGGGGACCAAAATATGAAATTTTGAGACTGATAATACAGGGAAAGATTGGACATGTTGGCCGAAGGCCGAACTCATGGTTAAAGAATCTACGTGATTGGTACCCATGCAGATCGATTGATTTGTTTAGAGCAGCAAGTTCTAAAATAAAAATAGCCATTATGATTGCCAACCTCCGTAGGGAGACGGCACTCTAAGAAGAAGAAATGAGTAGTACACATCAGTACATCATATTAGTTAATGTTTGTATTTTGAGAACGATTTCCGAAGTGGAAATTGAAACGTCAATAAACGTACTTTAACCTTTAATTATGACTTATTCCCATTTAAATACTAATAAGTCCCTAATAAAAAGCAATATCTCACCTTGAATATAGATTCAAATTGGCTACTAGTCGTTTTAGTAGATTTTCCTGCGAGAAAAAAAATTGGGATGCCCATTAAACATGGAGTATATTCAAAATGTTGGTCATTTGACGCAAAAACCCACGCGAAGATGATGCCAGCAGTGTTCAAAAACGGGATTACAGAAAGGCAATGATATAGTATGTAGACTATAAAGAGGCTTTGTGCTTGGATTGTTTTAAACCATCAATTATTCAAGTGCCTGAACTTTTTTTTAATATTGGATTTTTATTTGTTTATTACAATATTATGCAGTATTTTTGTATTATTTTAAGTCCTGTACCTATAATTGGCACAGGACAATATAAATAATATAGAATGGGCAACAAAAGAATTGGTATGGTGTGTAACGCAGACGATGCAGCAATTATTGCCGAATCAGAAGATGATCTCCAAAGGCAGCTCTTTCAGTTCTTTCAAACAAGCCGACTACTAAATATGAACATCTCTACCAACAAAACTAAATGTACGACAATAGCAAAAGATCCGCTCAGATGTAAGTTAGTGGTTGAGGACAACCCCATAGAACAGGTGATGCAATTCAGATATCTGGGCATAGATATATCAAGCACCCACGACCCAGTAAAGGACCTGAAGAGTCAGATCAACAAAGCATCTGCACTGTCAGGATGTCTGCGGGAGATAGTCTGGTCAAATCCGTATATGCGCACAGATAGTAAAATTACAATCTACAAGACTTGCATACGACCGATCATGACATATGGCATAGAAGTGCGCGAAGATACCAACAAAACGAAACAGATGCTAAGGGTTGCCGAAATAAAAACCCTAAGAACAATAATGGGGAAAACAAGAAGAGACAGAGTGAGAAATACAAACATTAGAGGACAGTGCAAAATTCAAGATATTGTAAGATGGGGAAGGCAGCGCAAGAGGATGTGGTACAACCATGTAAGACGAATGGATGAGAATAGACTCCCAAAAATACCCCTAGAAAAAAATTCGCCCAGTTCAAGACCCCCCGGAAGACCACCTAAAAGATGGAGGGATAGTTGGCAATCTACCTCCCAAGAAATTAACCAGAGGCAGCTTCAGAATTAAACAGATCGAAAGATCTACAAAAAGTAGAAGAAGAAGAAGAAGACCTGTAATTGATACACTTTTTATCATTTGGTACACAATATGTACCAGAGAAACTAGCCTGAAAATTATTCCTTGATTGAACACTGGTACAACGGTTGACAAGCATTTTTTTTATAGAAAAAAGCACTATAAGAAGTTCACAGCACTATAAGAAGAAAAGAGACTGGACGAAGACTGGAATATCGAAAAAAATATGTCATCACGAAAAGATATCTTAATCTCGCTTATACCAATGATTTCAACGGATTTACAATTTCTGTATGTTTCCGCACCGCAAAAAAAACAAAAATATTGTTTATCAGAAAGCAATAAATTGAGTTAACTTTTTCTATACATAGTATTTTTGAGGATCAATGAAATTAGAACATATTTTGCAACAATAGTAATCCACTTCATTGATTATATTCAACAATTATGAAATTTGTTAAATTTTTACAAAAATAAAAACGTTTTTACTCAATTTTTCAGATTTTGGTTTACAACAAGGATATATTTAAATATATTATTTACTATTTCAAGAGAAGGTTTTAATGAAAAATTATAAAAAAATAAAATAGTTACATTACTCAACAGTTTATTTGTTTTTGCTTTTGCTGCTATTGTTGGAGTACATCGCATGCATTTATTCCCGCTTTTATAACACCTGTAAACATCGAACCTTGTTTGAAATAATTGCTTGTACGTGCCTTTAAGCGCAATAATTGGGAGAACAAAAATACAGGAATGCATACAGCCCTGAAAAGCGGGAATGTAATTTTTTTGTACAGTTCATATACAATCGTTGCGAATTGTGATTGAATCGGAAATGTTTCTCGTCTGTTATGCGAAATGTTGAAAATATAATGTAGTGTTAAAATAGTAATAATAATTACTATTTATAAAATGTAGAATAATTAAAGTATTTTTTTCAGAAGAAACGACATTCGTAATGTCCCTAAAACTAAATTCGGACGAAGGAAATGGACCTGTCCGCTTGTAGAAGTTGCTTCTGTCACAACTCTCAACCGAATGAAGAACCAATGGTGTCTCAAGAGTGCCAAAATATAGTAGTATCGTATCCTGGACCAAGTTCTGCCAACAACAACAGTTCTGGAGACGATGCAGTAGCACCATCCAAGAACTGCTATAGATTAGTCGTACTAGGTAAGTAAATAAATCAATGGGTAGATGTACGTGTAGTTATTTTATAATTACAATATGACTTAAGAATTACCTACCCATCAACCAATTCTACAATTATTTACAAGAATCATAACAAACAAAGTGTAAACAAAATTGGATTTTTTTAAACCTAGAGAACTGGTAGCTTTTAGAAAAAACTTTGAATCGCTGGGAATTGACTGCAATAAACTCGAGATCAAGAGAACTGGAAAAAATTAAAGAAGGCCTATGTTCATTTTTAGACACAGTAAGCTGGGTGATAATAATGATGTAGTTCTTTATAATTTTTTTACATTATAATATTTAGAAAATTTAGTCGGTTTAATAGATCCAATTTGTTTTCCTTGTTTCAGGTTCCTCGCTTGAATTAAATAATCTAGTAATTAAATTATTTTTACTTATAGTTTTTATCATAATTTACGCCAAATATTAAAACAAAATAAATCATATATAAAATAAACATTTTACTTCTTTACCTTGTTTTTCTAACTGCACAAAAAATATATTTCACCTTTATAGTATCTGTAAAAGATATTTTACGACCTGTTAAAGCTCACGGCTGAAAGCAGAGTACAATATAGATCGTTAAAAGTTGTTTGTCACTAATTCCAAGATATTGTTAGAGAACACTGGATCTTTTTGCTAACTTTTCAAGTACACAATATTTTGTCGTGTTTTCATATTTCTTATTTTATATTTATATTAATACATTTTATTGGTAACAGATCGTTTACTTATAGCAACCCATGATACCAGACAAGACATCGATAAAATGAACTTAGAGTCATTACAGTTGTACCTTAAACTAGGTAATACAATTCATCCAACACTGTGTAATTTTTTTGATAAACTTACAAACTTCCAAGCAGAAGCAGACTCGGACCTTACTAGGAAACAACAAATCAAAAAGTTTTAAAATTTGTTACTACAGCAGTGGCTAAAGAAGAAAGAAAAACCTCAAACAGAAACAAACAGGTCAGTTTATAACTTTTCAGATCTGATATTCAATGAAGCCACGAATAGTGTTCTCTTAAAAGGTATCAATTTTGCTGTGACACCTGCACGAATTCTAGTAGAAAGTATCATTACCGAGGTTGAGACTACTATTGCTAATCTCCCAGCAAAAACAGCTGAGATCATATGCCAAGATGTATCAAAAATAATAAGAATAGCCAAACCATCAACAAGAAATTTAACTCACTAAGAAAAAGACGCCTTACATAATTTGAAGAACAACAAAGAAATCATTGTGTTCCCAGTTGACAAAGGCAATGGCACGGTAGTAATGAATATTCAAGATTACGAAGCAGAAATAAAAGACATCCTAAACGATACCACATATCAACGAATCTTGTCGGACCCCAAAACATATCTAGAAAACGTAACAAAAGCCAAGATCAAAGCCTTAGACATCAAGAAAGAACAAGAGTTACATCTCATACCTAGACAGAAGTCGTTAAGATGTGTAAAACTTTACGGCCTGCCCAAGGTACATAAGGTAGGATTACCATTGCGACCAATAGTTAGTTCTATCGGATCTCCTCTACAACCACTGGCAAAATTTCTGGCTGAACAGCTACAACCATATGCGGAAGAAGCGGATTCTTACCTCAAGAATGCAAGCTACTTTATCAAACGTATAAAAGACGTGACTCTTGAGCCGGGACATTTGTTAGTCAGCTTCGATGTGTTTTTACGTTTTACAAATGTCCTATAGATGAATCATTAGAAGTTATAAGCAGAAAGTGTCCAATACCAAGCATACTCTAAGCTTATTAAGCACTGCTTAAATAACACATATTTAAGCAATTATTAACAAATAGAACAGCGAACAATAGAAACAGCCGAACGCAAACCCAAACTTTGGCTTAGGTACATGGATGAAATTTTTATAATAATGACACATGGAGAAGAAAAAAAAACTAAAGGTATTTTAAGAACACATCAATAATATACACCATAAAATCTAGTTTAGTATGGAACTGGAAAAAAACGAACAACTACCATTTTAGATGTGTTATTAATAAAGAAGGAAGACGGGCACATAGGACATACAGTATACGGAAAATCTAGGTACACATACCGACAGATACCTACCTGCCGATTCACATCATCATCCTGCACAATTACATTTAGTTATTAAAACCCTGATAACACGATCCGAAATACTGACAGATGCAGAACACAAAAATAAAGAAATGCATAATGTGAAAACAGTGCTAAGAAAAAACGGCTTTTTAACATATTCCATTGAAAATGCCCATAATGCTTAAAAAATAATTTAGAATCTAACAAAAGAGGAAAAACCGATTGCAAAAGCCATTCTACCATATATAAAGGATACAATAGAGAAAATAGGGAGAGTGCTAAGGAAACACAAAATAGAAACCGTATTGAATACGAACAGAAAAATCTCAACCATTTTACCATCCATCAATACAAAAATATCGTAATAACATCAAGGAGTATATAAAATTTTATGTGGGGACTGTGACAAATCTTACATAGGACAGACCAATCGAAGAATGAATGTTAGACAAGAAGAACATCGAAATGCCATCGAAAGGAGAGAAAAACGTCGTCCCTTGCTCAACATGTCTCAAACGTATGAGTCGTCTTTTTGTCGAAGGTAACCGGACACTATTATCTCTTTTATTGGGAAAATTTCTCTTTTTTTTTAATTTCTATGGCTTCCCGGATAATTGTTGGTAAGCGCATGGAAGCCGCCATGATTCAAGAGTTTTAAAAATCCATTTTGTGACCAGTATGAAGATGGTGTTAACCTAGAGATGAAACTGAATCGAAGTTGCGAACAGAAATAAATCATATTTTAGATTCTACGATTTGTTTGACCTAGGTATATAAGATTTGGGCAGTCTGCGCAAGAAAATTCATAAACTTCGTGTTGTTCATTTAGAATATTGTCTTTGATTGATAGGACAAGATATAAAAGTTTTTTGTTTTGGGGTAAATATTGTTTCTATTCCTCTTGATTTGAGAATTTTGTTGATGGTGGTGATTGATTGTGACAACTTTGACGTAAGAAAGAAAAGCTTTCGTATGATTAGGGTCTGAGTCTTTGGGTTGAGATTGAGTGAGATATTGAATTCTGTGGATGCTCTTATTGATGTCATTTTTGCAGTAACTATTTTGGATGAGGGCTTGTTTTAAACTAAAGAGCTCAGATGGCCTAGTTGCATCATCACAAAGGCGTATTGATCTGAAGACAAGCGTATTAATGACTAAATTAATTTGTGAAAGTAGATGATGGGAGTTAAAATACAAGTTGCGACTGGTATTGTATGCTTAAGCATTGATGTGCATAGTGCTCGGGTCTCGAAATTTTTCTTAAAAATATTGGCAATTATTGGAGATAGTGGGGAGCCCATTATGGCCTGATTTATTTGTCTATGGAATTGATTTTAAAAGATGAAATAATGGTTGGACATGCAGTGAATGAAACAATATCGATTGAAGAATTAAACGGACAAAACGAACACGGACAAAAATAAAAATACATGGAAAATATGGGCAAAGAAAGAACCGGGATCTCAATCCAACGCCTGAGAGCAAAAAAATATATGAGAAAAAAAGAAGAGGAAAATAGACAAGAAAAACAATCGAGATGCAACTGACTTTAAATTTATATTTTGCGTAAATATTTAGACAATCTTTATTTAAATATCAACCAATTAATTACATGAATAATTGTTTTAATAATGAAAACCAAATGAGCTGAAAAATATTTTTCCGACGAAATTGATTTGCAGCTTCAATTATTCAACTCTCTGTGGTTGTTAGTCCTCTATTGTTACAGAATACAGAATATCTTTCTTAAAACTCCAAAAGCAAAAGTCAATGGGGGTAAGACCTGACCTGGGTGGCCAAGAAATAGGTGCGTCACGACCCCTTCTAATCCACCGACCAGGATACTGCTTGCAAAGGTATTTCCGGAATTTATTACTGTAGTGCGGTGGAGCGCCATCTTGTAGAAAGTACATATTTTGCCTTATTGCAATATTAACTTCTTCCAAATACGTAAATCGTTTGCCAAGAACTGCAAATAATTATCACCATTTAAATTGGTGGCAAGAAATACTGGGCCTATCAGATTGTTATCCACAATTCCTGCCCAAACATTGACTGTGAACTTTGAAAGTCCTTTGGTGATGAGTCGTTTTTTTGGCGTAATACAATCGCAAAATCCAATCCTTTTAGGATAACCTTCAATCAATAACTCTTGAAACGCCTTAAGCAGCTGATCCTTCAAACGCCTCCAAACCCTTACGTAGGGAACATTTAGTTGAGCAGCTATTACCCTTGTACTTGTTCTAGGAACTTCTTCAATGATTTCTTAAATGTCTTCATCAGTTGCATTTATTATTAGACGACCACTATTACCAGTAACTTGCGGTTGGAATGTACCCGTTTCGCGTAAACGACGATCAATGGTCAGAAATAATCGTCTATCGGGTGTAATTTGATTGTGGTATTTTACTGCATAACGCCTTGCGGCTACTGCACTATTTCCTTGACATTCACCTACGATAGTCCCGATAGTTTATTGAAATCATAATTTAATCTGATCCAACTTACTCAAAGGTAAATGCATATCTGCCATTTCCTGAAATGTGTAGGCCATTGTAATATCAAAATATTTAATATTAATCTTAGTCACACAATAAATGATAGCTTATTATTGACTATTATTGATGGAACTGTTTATAATTATTGTATCCGTAGTAACTAATTGTAATTTTATGGCCAACTAAGAAAAAACTAATTTTTCAAAAAAGTGATTAGAGGCAAAAAAGTTGATAATAATGTGTTAAACTAATGATCCACAAAATTCATTAAACGTACTCAAAAGTTTGTGGGGATTTAGGGCTGCACATCCCCCTTAAATTTTTTCTGTGCGCTTAGATTTTGTTTTTTTTATTTTTTATGAAAAATGTAGAACAAGAAAGTAACGTATCCATTTT